GATTTTTAAGTAGCCTCCAAATTTTTTTCCTGAGTGGTTGTACTAGTTTACATTCCCACCAGCATTGTAAGAGGGTTCCTTTTTCCCTGCATCCTCGCCAACACCTGTTTGGTGGTGTTGCTGATGATGGCTATTCTAACAGGGGTGAGGTAGAATCTTAGTGTGCTTTTAATTTGCATTTCCTTTATTGCTAGAGATGGTGAGCATTTTTTCATTTTCATTTTTTTGGCCATTTGAATTTTTCTTGCAGCCATATCTTGTGCTGAGCAAGATCCCAGCCCCTCCCCACCCACACCATTTGAGTGCTGCAGTCAGGGGCTGCCCGCCGCCACCATCCTGTAAGCCTAAGGCCGAGCTGGGCAGGGGGTGCCTGCTGTCCAGTACAGGTCTGTGTTGCTGAGGGCTGTTGATGCCTCCCCATCTCATATTCTCCTGCAGGTGTCCCCAGGACCATGACATCCGGTAGATGGTTCTTTCTCAAGTCCACTCTCCTCCTGTTCATCAGTGCCCAGAGACCATGTGGTGGAACTCAACACTGACCTGCCCTGGAACAACTGGGACCCTGAGCTACAGTCACACCGTCTGTAGATGGTCCATCCTATTGGTGATGGACACCTTTCCCCAATGGGAACTGTTCTTCCTTGTGTCTGCATGGTTGGCGAAACCTGTGGGGAAAGGTGACCCCAGGACCCCAAGGGCCACTTCTCAGCTCTGACTGTGGGATTTGACCATAGTATGTTGTAGTCTCTTAGACATTGTAGCCAAAGTGCAAATGAGGGAAAAAGTAGTGAAAATCCTTGGGCCTGTCCCCGGGCCCTACACTAGGATCACATCACCTATATCCCCTATCTGAACCCACACACTGACTATTTATACCTGAATTTTCCCACTGAAGCCTTCCAACTGGCCTTTCCACAAGGGTCCTTTCTCCTATGTTCCCTGCCTGGGCCTGCATACCTGGGACTTCCTACCTGGATTTTCCCAGCGGGGCCCTAACAAGGCAAGCTTAGGCGATCTCTGTCACAGCAGCCTGCCCAGGTAGCAGTGAGGACTTCCTCTCCCAGGGTGTCCCTCCCCCTCCCTGAGAAAGTGAGGTCATCTAGGCCAGGGTCACAAAGCCCCAGACTATTCAGGCACACAGAAGGCCCTGCCCCTCACTGTGCCCCATAACCCTTTCCTGGCACCTTCACCTATCGCTACTGTCTGGACCCTGCCTGAGACAGCCTGTCTGGTCTTTGGCTGCCTCCTGGACCTCATCTTTCTGCTCCCGGGTGCTCGGTGGTGCCACAGTAGAGCTGCCTATATGGGTAGGTGATCATGGATGGGTGTGTTCGTCCTTGAGAAGAGGATGGGGAATGCTCTGGGAGACCCCAGCCTGGGCAGGCCCTTTCTGTTCTGGTCACTGCCCTGCAAGCAGACTGGTCTCCCTGGTAGCCCTGCTGGGTTGGTTTGTCTCTGCAGACCCTTAAGGTGTTGGGGACACAGAGACCCTGGTTTCGGGTCTCATTCTGTTTATAAGATGGGATGGATAAAGAAAATCCTTACTCCCAGGGCTCCATCAGGTCTGCTATCCAATCCTTCTGCTGTTAGATCAGCTTGGGGTCTTTCAGGAATGAATTCAGAGTCTGACTAGCAAGCCCCACCCCAGGGCCCCAAGCCCTATGTGTTCAGGACAAAGCACAGCCCCTGTGAGGACTACTGTTCTCAAGAGGGCTGATCCCTAGCAATTGGATCTCAGCAGCATGGGAGGTTGCTGTGCCAGGTGGGATGAACTGCACCTGAATAGGAGTATTTGTTCTAGAAGACTCTGGTGTGGCTTTTGCAGGTGCTGGAATGTCGGGGCACCTGCCCTCAGAGGGTGTCCATGAGGACATCGAAGCTGTTCCTGTAAAGGAGAAAAATGCAGACCCCACAAGGGACCTGGCTCAGGAGGAGGATTATGATGACACCAGTGAGCCTGAGGAAGACCATGGGCAGGGAGAGGAGGAGGAAGAGGAAGAGGCGGGAGCATTGCTGAGCCCAACTGGCGTGCATCTCTGTGTCCTTGGATCCATCGCGCTATTCCTGCTCTACTGCTCCCATACAGCGGGGGACCTGTCCAGTGACTACATTTAAAGGACCTGAGAGCTGCTTTTCTGTGTCTCTGACTCACTCCCATCTCTGGTCTGGGATTTGGGACTCTCCTCCTGTCCCTTCAAGGCTGCTCCTTAGACTGCAGTTTTGCAATGGACACAAGTAGGGACACAGAAGTCCTTGCTCTTCCTTTGGTCCTTTTATAGCTGTCCACAGTGTCCTTTTAGCACATGGTCCCCTGGTGGCTTTAGGAGGGACCCTGGGTGGACAGCGGGCTGGGAGATGTGGATTCATTATGAAAAGCAATCTCACTCTCACCTGATCCCCCATGTTCAATCCTAGTCCATCCTTCTGCCTTCCTTTGGCAAAGGGAAATCAGGTTCCCAGGCTACCTGGAGCTCAGAGAAATCCTTGAGGACCACAGTGGGAATCTCTTTTCTTAAATACAAGTGGGGATCCTTGCAGCACAGATGGTATAGAAAGCACAGCAGCCCCTCAGCCAGCAAGTGATGGGTCTGTGCTGACCATAGGGGTCATGAGCTGTCTAAAGCCTGGTATAAACCCAGAAGGATGGGGGGACTTCATTCTCCTCATTCTTTATTTTGTCTCCTAATTCTTTAAACACATGTTATTAAACTCCCTTTGAACACACTCATTTATCCTTAGTACTTTCCAGAAACTTGTCAGACTCCACCATGGCCCTTGTTCTGCTTTAGACCAAACTTTTCTCCGCCTGATCTTGGGCCTTTGTCCTGCTTTGTAATGCAGACTTTGTGGGTTTCCTACCCATCCTTGTCCTCACAGTTGTGCTGAGAGGCAGGTGGGGGAGGGAATCCCCAGTGGAGCAAAGGTGGAGTTTCTTGTCATCTGCAGGCACGGCTTCTACTGCAAAAGTTATTGCAACTGAGGTCCCAACTCTCACACCTGTCCTGTCTTAAACCTAGATGGGTAGTAAGATCTCTGTCTTTTTTACCGTACCGTCACAGACCAACCCTGACCACATTCATCCAAGGCTACATCCTCCATGTAAAGTCCAAACTGTGATCATTTTTCTCACCAAACCAATCTGTGATTACACCCTCACGGTCACTTCCATCTACCAACCTGCCCTGTAGTGACCACTGTCTATGACCTTCTCTGCCTTGATCAGCCCTCTATGGACACAACCAACCAGGCCCAGACCTCCATGACCACATTCTCCCTGGTAAATACGTGCCCTACTGTCCTCTTCCTTGTGTGGTTAGGAAAATGTTTGCAAATGAGTGACATATACATGACCTGATAAATAATAGATCCTCATGAAGTTCTCGTGCATTGACCCTCATTTTGTTCTTGGGTAGAATATAGTCAGCTGTAGTTTGGATCTTAAATGTCTTCCAAAGGCCATATGTTGATGGTTTGGGCCCCACCTGTTCTGTTATTGGGAGATGTTGAAACATTCAAGAGGTGGGGCCTAGTGAAAGGAAGGTTGGACATTGGGTACATGTTCTTAAAAGGTATATTTGGACACCAGACTCTCTTTTTGTCCCTTGCCACCATCAGATTACCATCTGTGTTCCACCACTGTACTCCCTTCCATACTGTGCTGTCTCGCCACAGGCCTAAAACCAACTGGTGCAACCAACCATTCACTGAAATCTCCACACATGAGCTAAAATAAATCTTCCTTCCTGTAAGCTGTCTCGGGTATATCGCCCCATCAATGGGCATCTAGCTACCACCTACTCTCATGAGATCCTTGAGGCAAAGGCACTTTCACAGAATTTTTGTGTAGAATGATAGCTTGGGTCAGCCCAATGGCCAACAGTTCCCAGGGGTGTCCATGAGTAGAATGAGTCCTCACAATCTAATGCCTAGTGGGACCACATTCCTGATGGAGAGTGGACCTTCATGGTGGATTTATGTAGAATAGAGCCATAAAGCAGCCTGTGTAGAAGAGACCACCACGCTAACCATGTTTAGAATATACCCTCATGGATGTAAAATAAACACTCATGCTGTCGTAGTGTAGAATGTACCCTCACAATGTCCTGGGGTAAAATGACCCCTCATGGTGCCTCCATATAGAATTGACCCTCACTGGGATCTCGTGTAGAATAGACTCTCATGGTGTAGAATAGACCCTCAAGGTGTACTAGAGAGAATAAACCTGCTGGAGACCTCTTGCAGAATGGATCCCATGGTGTCCTCACATGGAATGGTGCCTCATTTTGTCCTAATGGATAATGGATCTACACTGCAGGCTGAGAAGACTCCCAGGGTACATCAAAGTGTAAGTTACATGCTTTCCTACATGTTTTGCCTTTGACACTTAGTCATTCCTAGTGGCTTATCAATAAATGAAACATTTGTGCCATAATCCCCTTGTATGGATGGTCCTGAGTTTACCTACCCATCCTCATGTGGCTTACTTGCATGAGTGGCATCTTCCTTTAGTGCATTCATTCCTGCAGGAAGTGTACGTCTTTCGTACTAGCTGGTCAGAGGGCATGCATGTTTTTAAGTATTATGATCCATTGGCTAAGTCTGCCTATTCATGACATACTGATATTAGAAAGACCTCAGACCTTCACTCCCATCTTCTGAGAGGCAGACAGAGGCCCTCACTCTCCTCCCTGGCTTGGGTCTTAATAGCTGAGCATTGAGGCCTTGAAGGGAAGGGGCTCCTCAATCTTGTCACACCTGGGGCTGAAACAGGCACCAGCTGCAGGAAGCCCAGCTGGCCTCACCTCAGGCTGCTGGTGCTGCCTGGGCTCAGGCATGTTAGGTGAGCTCCTACTCTATGTGGCAGATGACGGTTATGACGTGGGGGAGGCACCCAGGGTGCCTACAATGAGCTACAATCTCAGAACAGCATCGCCCCCAAATTAGAGTCCACCTTCCGCTTGGAGGCAGAGCACAGTGCCTGCTCTGAGATCATCAGCTTGGCGAGCTACAGCCGCAATGGAACCGGGCGTGGCTCTGTTCCCTCTGGTGCCTTGGACCCTTCTCCTGGCCTGTTGGACTCTCTCCTCTGGTGAGTATGTGCTGCTTGCTGTCTTCAAATCCTGTGGTCGGGGACACAGGTGTGCGGGATGCCCACGGATGGGGTCAGGAATGACGCAATGCTGGTCATGCAATGCTGCTCATTTCTTTGTGAATATCTCTGAACCTTTCATTTCACCTCAGCAACCATTTGGATGACACCCAAAGGCGGGTATTAATGGTAGAAAAATCTCAGATAAAGGTGGGATGATAAATGAGGGCAAGCTTTCTAATCAAGGAACATCCTGGATGAAATTTGTACAATCTTCTACACCATCCTATGTTCTTGTTCCTGAAGGTATTACTGGGGAGGACTACATGAGTCTTGTGGATGGTGCAAACCACTGCGAGGGGCGCCTATACCTGCAGTACCGCAACCAACAGGGCTTTGTGTGTGGGGACCACCTGGACCTGCAGGAGGCCTCGGTGATCTGCAGACAGCTTGACTGTGGCCCTGCTCTAGCAGCTCCTCAGTTCGTTCTGAGGCCCGAAGAGATGGTGTCACCCTGGCTGTATGATGCCCAATGCCAGGGTGAGGAGGCCACCCTCTGGGACTGTTCCCTAGGGTCCTGGGGGCCCATCTCTGATTGTGAGTGCCAGTGTGTGATGGCAATTATCTGCTCAGGTGGGTGAGTCTGGCCCCCTCAGCCCCCGTAGTTCTGGGACCTCCTTCCATGTTCAGGCTCTAGAGGCATTCAAGCAAAAACAGAGGGTGATGAAGGGTCTGGCCCAGGTTGAGTGTCTCATTTTCTTGGGAGTCTTGGGGTTCACCGTTCCTTCCTTTTCTTGTGTGAGATGAGGGCTTTCCCTCTTTGTGTTAACAGAACTCGGTCCTCACTCTCCCTGGAAACCCTTCCCAGTTCCATTTAGCAGGTGTCCAAGTTTCTAAATTCAGTCACCAAAGCTGTGCTTCCCTCGGTCTTCCTCGGGCAACTCAGGGAGCACTGTGTGTCCTCACTGTGCACTGAGTACAACTCCATGCAGGCAGAGTTGCCAGGTGGGTTCTCCAGGCAGGTGTCCTGAACTGGTACCGCTTTCCTTGCTTGTAAATCAGACCCTGTGGATACCAAGTCAGGTAGGGCCACATCAGTTCTGAGACCCTGCATGTGTGTTGCCGGCAGAAGCTGCCAGGACTTGGTTTCTCTTCTGCCCCACCAGGTAGTACCTTAAGGAGAATTAGGCTGGAGGGCGGTGGCAGCCCCTGCGCTGGAACCCCTGGGTCTCTGAACCCTGCTGGCTTTGTCCTGAAGTGTGAGTTGCAGCAGAAGGAGGCAAGTGTCTTTTGCAGACAGCTGGAATGTGGAACTGCTGTGCAGTGGTCCAGAGTCCACCACAGAGAGAACTCTGGGAGCCAGGAGCAGAAGTTTGTGTCCTGCCAGGGAACCGAGTCCAACATTTTCCAGTGCAAGATCAATGTAAACTTCCTAGAGCAGTGTCATCATCAAGCCTACACCCAAGTGGTGTGCACAGGTAGGGATGCCATGAGCCAAAGTATTTTAACTCTGATTTTCATGTCCCTGTATGAAGAAAGGAGATCCAGGTTTATTCCTCACAGGATGGGCTTGGGAAATGGGAACTTCTCCGGGGGTGGGGGTTGCATGATTTTGCATTTTCTAAGCCATAGGCCATCCCTTGTAAGCAGCGCTATAGCCCCAACCACTCTATCCAAGGTTCCTAATCCAGCCTATGCCATGGGGTGACAGGCTGAGGATTCCCATCTACCCTGCCCATGGGGGTCACAGGGGCCCATGTCTCCCCAGAGACCAAGAGACCATGGAGAGCCTCTGTGGTTAAGTATATATGTAAGGTCTAATGCCCAAAGAAGGAAGGATGGCAGGTTCCTCAGTCTGCAGAGACCGACTTGCCACTGGGGCTCTGGATCCCTGTGGCTGGGCTAAGCCAAGTAGTCCTGGGTTGTCATGCATCATGCCTCCATGTGGACTGGGTGGTGGCCGTCAGGTCACTTCACCCCAGTGACTGCATGGAGCCTGTCCTGCCCTCAGTTTCTCCATTCCAGTACCTTTTCCCCAGGACATGTGGAGGCCCGACTGGTAGGCAGTGAGCACCCCTGTGCAGGACGCCTGGAGGTTCTGCGGGGTCTGACCTGGGGTACCGTCTGCGATGCCAACCTGGACCTGCCCACAGCCCACGTGGTTTGCCGGGAACTGGGTTGTGGAGTGGCTGTGTCCACTCTTGGAAGTGCTGGCTTTGGCCAGGGCTCAGGACCCGTGTGGACGGAGGCCTTCCGCTGTGTGGGAAATGAGTCACTTTTGTTCCACTGCCCAAGGGAGCCAGGACACCAGTGTACACACGACCAGGATGCTGCACTCACGTGCTCAGGGGACAGTGAGTAGGGTCATGGACCACAAGGGATTTGGGCTGTGGGGTGATCAGGGGCTGAGAGCTGGCAGCCTGGACTATGATGGCAGTGACAGCTGGTGGAGGAGCTCACACCCAAGTCCCATTGTCATGAGGGTCCCTGGACCAACTGTCTCTTCTCTGGCTCCTCATGTGTTTGTTCACCATCTTCCATCTTTGGAGAAATGTCTGCTCGTATCTGTCACCCATCAGCAATGGGTTGCTTGGTTTCCCTGGTGGTATTGTGAGTGTGTTTTGCATGTTCTGTATGACAGGCTTTATTAAACACTATGGTTTCTCCTTGCAAATTGTGACAATGCCCTTCCATCCACAGCAGTTCAATTTTGATAATTTGCAACATCGAGTTTTTGTATTGCTGCTTGTGATTCTGGTGTCATCTAAAAGTCCAAGTGGCCAACTCCCCTGTGCGCTTTCTCCAAAGATCTTTGTCTATTAGCCTTTATGTCTAGGATTCTGATGCTGCTCCATTAACACAGGAGGTCTTTCCATCTTCTGGTGTCTTCTTCAATTCTTTTCTTCAATGTCCTGTAGTTTTCATTGTGGAGGTCTTCCACCTCCATAGGTTTATCCCTAGGCATTTAATCTTTTGATGCTACCATGAATGGGATTGTTTTCCTGATCTCTTTCTCAGTCTGTTCATTTTTGGTGTATAGAAAAGCTACTACTTTGTGTATGTTGATTTTATTTCCTGCTACTTTGATACAAGTGTTCATCAGGTCTAGGAGTTTTTTAGTGGAATCCTTAGGCTCTTTCGAGTATAGGATCAAATCATCTGCAAATTGGAATCATTTGGCCACTTTCCTACTTGTATCTCTTTTATTTCTTATTCTTTCCTGATTATTCTGGCTAAGAATTCAAGTACTACATTGCATAAGAGAGTACAGTGTGCACATCCTTGTCTCTTTCCTGAATTTACAGGAAATGGTTCTGGTTTTTCCCCATTTAGTACGATGCTGGCTATAGGTTTGCTATATATACCTTCCTTCTATTCTTATTTTCTTCAGCGCTTTTATCATAAGGGATGTCAAAGGCCTTTTCTGCATCTATTGAGATGTTCATATGATTTTCTCCCTTGTTCTGTTTATATGCCATATTAAATTTATTGATTTATGTATGTTGAGTTGTCCTTGAATCCCTGGAATGAAGCCAACTTGAACATCCTGTATGATCTTTTCAATGCGTTGTTGAATTCAATTGCAGGTAATTAATTGAGAATTTTTATCCATGTTCATCAGGGATTTTGGTCTATCATTTTCTCTTTTTGTTATTGTTGTGCCTTTGTCTGGTTTTGGTAGCAGGGTAATACTGACTTCATACAATAAGTCTGGTAATGTTCCTTCTCTTTCTCTTTTATAGAAAAGAACACTGGTGTTATTTCTTCTTTAACGTTCTGGCAGAACTCAGCAATGAGTCCATGTGGCTCTGAGCTTTTCTTTGTTGAGAAGCTATTACTGCTTCAGTCTCATGCTTGTTGTAGATCTGTTTAAGTGATTTATATCATCCTGGTCCCATTTGGGAGTACATATGCATCTAGAGAGATATGCATTTCATTTAGATTTTCTAGTTCATCAGAATATAAGTTTCAAAGTATTCCCTAATGATCTCTGAATATCATTGATACTTGTTTGATATCCCTTTTTTCATCCCTAATTTTATTAATTTTGGTCTTCTCCCTCCGTCTTTTGGTTAGTTTGGCTAAGGGTGCATCAAGAAATGAATTGGCCCTCACACCTGCTCTAGCACTTGAGTCACTCCACCAGTCCTTTTTTGTGTTGGGTATTTTTGAAATAGGGTCTCACTTTTTGCCTATGCTGGCCTTGAATGACAATCTTCCTGATCTTTGCCTTCTCACTAATTAGGATTACAGAGATAAACCCAACAGGTTTATCAAATTTTTATCCTTTCAAAGAACCAACTTTTTGTTTCACTGGTTCTTCATACTTTTAGCTTCCATTTCATTCATTTCTCCCATAATCTTCATTATTTCTTTCTGTCTACTGGTTTTGGATTTACCTTTACTCTTCTTTTCTACTCTTGAGGTGCATCATTAGGTTATTTATTTGAGATCTCTCTGACTTTTTAATGAAGGCACTCATAGCCAAAAGCTTTCCTGTTCACACTGCTCTTGCTGTATTCCAAAGGTTCTAGTAAGTTGTGTTTTCATTTTCATTTGATTCTAGGGATTTTTTTGTATCTCCCTTCTTATTTCTTTGGTGACCCACTGATCATTTAGGAGTCAATTGTTGGGGTGGCTCAACTGGTAGAATATTTGCCTAGCAAGTGTGAAGCCATGAGTTCAAACCCCTTCATCGCCAAAAAAAAAAGTCAATCGTTCAGTCTCCATGTGTTTGGATATTAGCAATTGTTTCTCTTGCTATAGATTTTGGTTTTTGTTTTATTATGTGCTGATTAAGTATAAGAAATTATTTCAAGTTTCTTGTATTTGTTAAGACTTGCTTTATGGGTTAAAATATGATTTTTTGGAGAAAGCTCCATGGTCTTCTGAGAAGAATGTGTATTCTGTGACAATTGGTGCAATATTCTGTAGATATTTGTTGAATCCATTTGTGCAGCATTGTTTAATTAATTCAAATTTCTTTGCTGATTTTTCTTATGAATGACAAATCTATTGGTAAAAGTGAGTTTTGAAGTCACCCACTATTATTGTGTTGGGGTCTGTTTATGCTTTCATGTCCAGTAACGCTTATTTTATGAGACTGTGTGTGTCAATATTCAATACATCATATATGTTTAAAATTGTTAAATCCTCCTGGGGAACTTTTTCCTTTAACAAAATGAACTAACCTTCTTTACCTCTTCTAATTTATTTTGAAGTCTGACAGATATGAGTGTAACTACTCCTGCTTGCTTTCAGGTTCCATTTTTTTAGAAAAGCTTTTTCCATCCTTTCACTTTAAGCTTGTGTTTGTCTTTGCATGTGAGATGCATTTCTTGTAGGCAACAGATGGTTGGGTCTTATTTTGCAATCTAACCTGCCAACCTATTTTTTTTGATTGGAGATTTCAAAATCTTAACATTCAGAATTATTACTTAAAGGTATGCAGAATTCTTTGTCGTTTTGTTGTTTTGTGATGTTTGCTTCTTCCCTACTCGTTTTTTTATCTACTTGTCTAATGGTGTTTATTCTTTCCTGTATTTTCATGAGAGTGTTTATCTTCCTCTTCTGCATGTAGGATTCCTTCAAGTACTGTCTGCAATGCCTGTTGAATGGTCATGAATTCCTTTAGTTTTTGTTTGTCATAGAAGGTTTTAATTTCTCCTTCAGTTATAAAGGATAGCTTTTCTGGATACAGTAACCTAGGTTGACCCTTATTTTCTTTCAGCTTGAAATACATCATTCCTTGCCCTCCTTGCTTTTAAAGTTTCCACTGAACAATCTGCTGTTATTCTGATAGACTTGCCTTGATATGTTACTTAGAGCTTCTCTCTTGCAGCTTTCAATATCCTATTGTCATCTTGTTCCACTCTTTTTGCAAGACTTTCCATGAATTTTCACTTGAGTTATTGAACTTTTTATTTCTAGAATTTCAGTTTGAACTTTTGGGATTTCTGTGTTTCTATGGAGTCTTCTTTCAGATCCCTCATTGTCTTCCTTACTTTGTTCAGTTTGTTTTAATTATCTTTGCATTTATTCAGCTGTTTATTTGTATTGTCTTTGAATTCATTCAGGACATCATACATGTCATCTTTAATTTCATTGATCACTCTTTTTTGGTGGTGCTGGGGTTTGAACCCATTGATCATTCTTATGTCCATACTTTTGCATTCATTGTTTCAGATTTTATCCACTTTGTTAGCATCCAAATCCCTTATTATTGAATAGTTGACTTGACATATTGCCTTGTTTTTTCATATTACTAGTATTTCTACATTGGGATTTATGCATCTGAGACCAAGTTTTTGGCTGGAAGCTATAATCTCTTGTGTCCTATCAGGTGAGGTGTTCACAATATTTAGGCAAGATTAGATGGTCTTTAAATTGTGTTTTCTCACTACTGAACTCAGGGTGTGTGGCTTAGTAGTCACACTTTTACTCACCATGCTCAGGACACTGGATCTGGCCCCCTGCTCCACTCAGGAAGAAGAAGACCAGCTGCAGAAGCAATCATAGTTAGTAGACACACTGTGAGGATACAGTAATCCCTATGAAGAACAGTCACTGCAGTGCTACAGTATTTATAAGGAATAAATGATCAGAGCTAATAAATGCAGTAATGGGAAGAAATGGGAGTAATTTCACTAATGAATAGTACAAGGTGTATGGTGTGATAAGAAGGGAAGGGGAGGCAGCTAAAGTAAATACAGGGGTATACTGGGAAAGAAGAAAATAGAATAGAATACTTAATAAGGATAGATATATAGTGAGAAGAAAGGAGAAAGAGAAAAAGAAAAAAAGATTTAATATGTGATCTGGCAGTCTAACAACCTTCCAAAAATAACAACAAAAAAGTATTGTGGAAAGGGGAATAGAGAATGAAAAACAAGAGAGAACTAATCCAACTGTTGATGTAATGAAAGTAGAAACCAGGGAGGGTGATAAAAGAGGGAGGGAGAAGAGATGGCTAGAAATTTAATAATAAATGGTGTTGTGACTCACATATGCTGACTGCAAAAAGGGGAAGGTAAAAACAAGAACATAAAAAAGCAAGAAACAGAGAAGAAAAATAAGCCAAACAAACAAATGAAACCAAAAAGACAAAAACTGACAATATTTTTGTCATTGTTGGAGAAGAAGGTGGCTATCTTTCCTCCCCAGAGCAGTATGTTTTTAGTCGAAACTGGCTAGGCAAGTAGGCATGTGTAGTGTGAAGACTTAGCTCAAAGATAAGGGGAGTACTAAGTGCCTGTGTCTTTGAGCCAGGGACCCAGTACAGGAAAATAGGCTTAGAATTCTACTTGCACGTTCTCATGCTGGATCCCAGTGCCCAGGTTCCTAACCTCCCAGACTCCAGTATCACTCCTCACTGACCTGTGGCATCCTGCAACCCTCCCAGATCCCCATCAACCCACACTATTCTAAATATCAACACAGTTCCCAGTCAGTGACTACAGTGCCAGGTTCTGGGTTTGTTCAGGGACACCAAGATCAAACTGCTTAGGTTCACACCAAGTTTCCAAGATGCACCTGTGGCTAGTGGCAGAGCTGTGTTGATTGTCATGACTCTTTCTTTGACTCATGAGGGTTTGTCAAAAAATAGACAGAAGAGACAAAATGGGAGAAAATCTTTACTTGCTATACATCTGACATGGGATTGATAGCCAGGATTTATGGGAATCTCAAAAAACTAAACTCCCACAGAATCAGCAACCCAATGAAGAAATGGGAAAATGAACTGAACAAACAATTTTCAAAGGAAGAAGTACAAATGGCCAATAGATAACTCACCACCCTTGGCCATGAAGGACATCCAAATCAAAACGACATTAACCACTCTGACCTCACTCCAGTCAGGGTGGCTATCATCAAGAACACAAACAACAAATGTTGGTAAGGATGTAGCGAGAAAAAGGAACCCTTATACACTGTTGGTAGGAATGTAATTTAGTGTAACCCCTATGGAAAGCTGTATGGATGTTCCTCAAAATACAAACAAACGAAAAAATAGGGTCTGGCAGAATGGCTGAAAAGGTAGAGTGCTTCCCCAGCAAGCGTAAGGCCCTGAGTTCAAACCCCAGCACTACAAAAAAAAGTTTGATCTACTATATGATCCAGGAATACCCCTCCTGGGTATATAGCCAAAGGGATGTAAGTCAGGATACAATAGAGACACTTGTACACCCATGTTTATTGCAACACTATTCACAATAGTCAAGTTATGGTAACAGCCCAGATGCCCTACAACTGATGAATAGATTAATAAAATGTGAGATATATATATATGCAATTTAGTACCATTCAGCCATAAAGAAATTTGAAATTATATCATTTGCAGATAAATGAATGGAACTGGAGATCATCATGTTAATCAAAGTAAGCCAGATTCAAAAAAACAGAGACCCCATATTTTCTCTCATATGTAGAAGATAGATCTAAAAGATAAATATACACACAAATACAAACATGATCATATACACAAATATATAGAACAAGTCCGTAATAGTGAGACTGTTTGAGGGGACTAGGAAGAAGAAGGAGAGGAAATGAGAATGAATAACATCAAAATACATTTCATCTGTGTAGGAAGATAACACAACAAAACACTCTGAAAGCTGTTAATTAATAAGGGTAAGAGGGAAAGGGTAAGGGAGAGTAATTGAGGGGGTTAATCTGATTAACCATGGTGAAATATCGTGGTGAAGTCCCTTTGAATAAGAAATATACACTTGATTGAATATAAAATATGCATATCACTATCAAGTTGGGCCCCATCCCCAAGAAATCTCATTATCTAGATGCAAATGTGACCAAATCTGGAAAAAACCCAAAACTCAAAATATTTCTGGTCTCAAGAATTTTAGGTAAGGGATACTCACCTGTAGCTATGTCTACTTTGATCCAGTTATTAAGTATGTTTGTTATTGCATATCTTTCTACGCTCCCTAAATAGTTTAATTTCAAATTTTGATGAATTATTTCAGGAAATTTGACCTTTGTGGTAGAAAATTTTTGCATGAAACTTCCAGGTATGGATTTTTTATAAAGAATATAAATATATTCTTTAATATTTTAAATTTTTCTTGGAGGTACTGGGGTTTGAACTCAGGGACTCAGTTTGCTGGGCAGGTGCTTCACCACTTAAGCCACTCTTCCAGCTCAATAATATATCTTAATCTATATGAAATGACCTTTTTCCATTTGATTATTGATGAAAAGTTGGTACTTTACCTTCACGTGAAATCATACCACTAAAAGGAGAAATAAAGAATAAAATCTTTAAAATATATACATATATATACATATATGTGGTATATATATGCAATTTAGTACCATTCAGCCATAAAGAAATATATATTTCTTTTGAAAAAAGAAAGACCGGAAGAAAAAACAGGTCCTGGTTAGGGTCAGCGGGTGAGTGGCAGTGGCAGGAGAATAAAAGGAAAGGGTAAAGGAGGGAGAATAAAGTCAACGTACTTCATAGGCTTGTATGAAAATAGGGCAATGAAATTTACTGAGATTATTTTAAGAAGGGGAAGAAGAATGATGAAGGGGATGAAACTAACCAAGGTACATTGTAAACATATATGGAAATGTAACAATGGAATACCTTATACAACTAATATATGCTACTCACAATGTTTAAAAGTAAATAAATACATTTTAAAAGGCTAAATAGTGCAGCATTGTGTGCAGGCCACGTTTTCTTTATCCATTCGTGCTGACAGACACTAAGGTTTCCTGTCTCAGCTATTGTGAGTAAGACTGGAGTAAAGGCGAGAGTGCAGCTATTATACTGATCCCCCTCCCTTTGGATGAGCACATAGGGAAGCTATTCATCATTCCGACGTGCATCTCTGTGAGTACTGATCACTTGCAGTTTCTGAGGTTCTTGTGTGTGGATTCAGGTACTTCATCAGATTTGCTGAATGTTTGGTAAAATTTACTGAAACACTCCTCTTATCACTTTCTCTTCTAGGACTTCCCTTGGGTATGTTGGTGCACTTGATGGGACCCCAAATTCTCCTAGGCATTGTTCATTTTGGATAATTTCAACTGTCTACTTTCTGTCCACTGATTCTTCTGTCTACTCCCACCTTCCCTCAGTAAATGACTGGGCTCCCCTGGAAAGGGGGCCATTTCTGTGAACCCACTCCCTATTGTATCTCACCTGATTCATGAGTTTTTGTTAGAACAAGATATTTTGAATGTTATAAGGTAAGAAATCTGGAAATCAGATTCTCCCTCATCCTTAAGTTTCTGCTTGTGGCTTTTTAAGTTTTAGCAGCTTAGCTAAAATATTTTAAGTTTTTATCTTTACTTTTAAATTTTTTACAATTTTTATTGGCACATAGTACATTATACATAGTAAGTAGTTTCATCATGATATTTTCACACATGCGTATACCGTCTCAATGTTTGCAGAGACTCTTTTGTATGGCCTTGGAAGTCTGCTCAGAGGCAGAATGGTTACTGAAGAATTGGACAGGGATTTCCTTTAATGACAGAGAAAACTATTGCCTTCTAGTCCTTAGGGATTAATTCTGTGTGGTGTCCCTCCATGGGATGGTGCTCAGGCCATTTAAAGCTTTATGGGAAAGTTCATCCCTGCAGTGTGTAGCCCACATTGAAAATGTCTTTCTCACTTGAGTTGTCCTGTGTGCCTAGTTTTCCCAGCATGACCGCTGTATTTGTGAGGGATGCAAATGGAGTTCCCCAGTCCGATTTTCAGTGCTACCACTCTGCAAAGACATTGTCTTGCTCTTAGTCTGTCTTCCAGGCCTGGTTTCCCACTGTAAGGAAGCTCCTACTGGTCATGAGCCTGTGGAGGTCTTGGGTTTGGAACCAGCTGACTCTGCTTCTCCCCCAGAGTTCCGGCTGGTCAACGGCAGCAACCACTGTGAAGGCCGTGTAGAGCTCCAAGTGCAGGGAGCCTGGGCGCCTCTCTGTGCTGCTCACTGGGACTTAGCAGATGCCACAGTCCTGTGCCAACAGCTCAACTGTGGCAACGCCGTGGCCACACCCCAAGGAGGCCTTTTTGGGGAAGGGGACATTCCCATCTGGCCAGACGTATTTCACTGTGTTGGGACAGAGCCCCATTTGTTGAGCTGCCCAGCAAGCACCCTGGGTGCCCAAGCCTGCGCCCAGGGAAATTCCGCCTCCACCCTGTGCTCAGGTGGGTGCACTATGGAGGAGGAAGGGGGTCAACAGAGTGGGGACAGAAGTGTGCACTGGATGGAAGGAATGGCAGTCCTGTCCGCAGGAGTGGGGGCAGAGATGCCCAGAGGATGGAGGGGATGGCGGTCCTATCCGCTTTGGAGGACCCTCAGCCTGAGCCCCTGGGGCCCCTTGCTGTCCCTCGCAGGCCTCCCTGACGCCCTGCGGCTGAGGGACGGACAGAGCCGCTGCGATGGCCGCGTGGAGGTCTCCCTGAACGGCAAGTGGGGCCGCGTGCTGGACGACAGGTGGGACCTGCGCGGAGCCACCGTGCTGTGCGCACAGCTCGGGTGCGGAAAGGCCCTGAGCGCCTACGAAGCGCCGGCCCCCGGCCTGGGGGCCGCCCCGGTGCTGCTGAGCCGCGCGCGCTGCCTGGGCTCCGAGCCCCGCCTGACCCGGTGCAACGTGTCCGCGGGACCTCTGGTGTCCGTGGGGACCTCGCGGGACGCGGGCGTCGTGTGCGAGGGTGAGTGAGGGTGGCCGCCTCCGCTGCCTCCCTCACGGCCGGCGCCCGCTGACTAGGTGTTTCTGCAGGGAGCCTCAGGCTGCGCTTGGTCGCGGGCCCGGGACGCTGTGCGGGGCGCGTGGAGGTGCTCCACGGAGGCGCGTGGGGCACCGTGTGTGACGATGCCTGGGACCTGCGGGACGCGCACGTGGTCTGCAGGCAGCTGGGCTGCGGACACGCCCTCAGCGCCCTCAGGGATGCCCACTTCGGGGCCGGGGCTGGGCGCATCTGGATGGACGAGCTGGGCTGCCTGGGCCACGAGTCTGCATTGTGGCAGTGCCCTTCGGGTGGCTGGGGCCAACACGACTGCAGCCACAAGGAGGATGCCGGGGTCTTCTGCTCAGGTGGGTGCAGAAATCTGAGCCTGTCGCGTACTTCCCACCCCTCCAGAGCTCCGCCTTGCTGATGGACCGTTCTGTCTGCAGAATTCATGGATGTGAGGCTGCAGGACCACAGCCAACCATGCACAGGGCGCCTGGAAGTTTTCTACAATGGAACCTGGGGCGGCGTCTGCCAAGCCCTGAGCGCAGCCTCCCTGGGGGTCCTGTGTGGGTGGCTAGGTTGTGGGCCCCATGGGCAGCAGCTGGCCAGGGCAGAGGGCTGGCCTTCCCCTGGAGCTTTCTGGTTGGGCTCCATACAGTGCAGGGATAGACATGACAGGTCCTTGTGGCAGTGCCCCTCAGCACCCTGGGACCAACACTCATGCAGCAGCCAAGAAGAGGCCTGGGTGGTGTGTGCAGGTAAGCAGGGTCCCGGCGCTATGAGGATCTGACTGGGTGTTGCCGTATGGAGACATCTGAGACCTGATGCTCTCCCAGAGGAGGATGAAGGACTCTAGGCTCCTGGGCATCTTCTGACAACATCCTACAGGCAACCATGTAGGGAATCCTCAGCCTGTATGGATACCCTCACTTCAAAATAAGAGTTTTCTTCCTTTAAATTAGCAGAAAATCATGGTTATGGGGAGACAGAAAACAGAGGGAAAGAAAATGCTTTACAGACTTTTAAGCAGCTGGGTCTGGGATTACTGAGCATGGGCCATAATTTCCCACAGAAAAGGAAGACGCTGGTCAGGAGGCTGAGCAGACCCTCAACTGCTCATCCCCACTCAGCTGCCCAGGTACTTCTCTGACCGTCTCCCGTCCAGCTGCCCATCCAGATGCTGCCCGCGGTGACCTCTCGCCCCTTTTGCAGAAGAGGGCGCGCTGCGCGTGCGCGGGGGCGAGGATGGCTGCTCCGGGCGCGTGGAGCTCTGGCACGCGGGCTCCTGGGGCACCGTGTGCGACGACTCCTGGGACCTGGCTGACGCGGAGGTCGTGTGCCGCCAGCTGGGCTGTGGCCGCGCCGTGGACGCCGTGCGGGGGTCCGCTTTCGGGCCGGGCTCGGGGTCCGTGTGGCTGGATGAGGTGGGATGCCGAGGCAGCGAGGCGGGCCTATGGGACTGCCCTGCCAATCCGTGGGGACGCGGAGACTGCACGCACAAGGAGGACGCGGGTGTGAGGTGCTCAGGTGAGTGGGCGGGAAGGGCAACGGGAAGATGGGCCCCCGGCGGTTCCTTCTTGCAGCCATATCTTGCGCTGAGCAAGATCCCCGCCCCGCACCGTTTGAGTGCTGTAGGCAGGCGCTGCCCGCCCCACCGTCCTGTGGACCTAAGGCCGAGCTGGGCAGGGGGTGCCTGCTGTCCAGTACAGTTCTGTGCTGCTGAGGGTTGTTGATGCCTCCCCATCTCACATTCTCCTGCAGAGGTCCCCAGGACCACGGCATCCGGTAGGTGGCTCTTTCTCAAGTCCACTCTCCTCCTGTTCATCAGTGCCCAGAGACCATGTGGTGGAACTCAACACTGACCCTCCCTGGAACAACTGGGACCCTGAGCCACAGTCACACCCTCTGTAGATGGTCAGCCCATTGGTGATGGACACCTGTTCCACAGTGGGAGCCCTGTGTCTGCATGGTCGGAGAACCTGTGGAGACAGAGGCCTCAGGACCCTAACAGACACTTCTCTGGGGGCTTTCCGTGGCTGATTGTGGGGTTTGGCCCTAGTATGCTGTGTCCTTTTGACACTCAGCTTGGGCCCAAAGCACAGCTGAGGGTAGGGACAGTGGTAATCATGAGATCTGCCACCTGTACCCACAACTGTGTCTTAGCCTTGTTGCCTCTTTCCTGGGCCCGCACACCTGGATATTTCTACTTGCACTTTCCTATCTGAGCCTTCCATGTGGCCTTCTATCTGGGACCTTGATCCTTACCCCAACATGTGCCTGTGCACCTGGCACCCACTTCCTGTGTAGTTTTGCCCTGTAACCTCTCCTGGAGCAGGAGTCTGCCCAGGTAGCAGGGAGGGTCATCTTTCCTAGACATCAGCCAACTCTCTGAGAGGGTGCGATCATCTAGGCTCAGGGTCACAAAGCCCCAGACTGTCCAGGCACATAGGAGGCCCTGCCTGTTTCTGTGTCCCACAGCCCTTTCCCTAGCACCTCCAGCTTTCGCTACCATCTGGACCCTGCCTGAGACAGCCTGCCTGGTCCTTGGCTGCCTCCTGGGCCTCATCTTCCTGCTCCTGGGTGCTCGGTGGTGCCACAGAAAAGCTGCCTGTATGGGTAGGTGATCATGGATGGTGTGTTCATCCTTGAGAAGAGGATGGGGGATGTTCTAGGAGACCCCAGCCTGGGCAGGCCCTCTCTGTTCTGGTCTCTGGCCTCCATGCAGACTGGTCTCCCTGGTCATAACTGCTGGGCTTGTCTCTGTAGACCCCTAAGGTGTCAGGGACACAGAGAGCCTGGTTCAGGTCTCACTCTGCTCTAAGAGGGATGGATGAAGAAAATTTCTACTCCTAGGGCTCCATGGGGTCTGCCATCTAGGCCTTATGTTTGCTTGCAGCTTGGGGGTGGGGAGGGAGTTCAGGAATGAGGTCAGAACCTGAGACCAGCAAGCTGTACCCTAGCCCTGTGTGTCCAGGGCAGAGCATGGCCCCTGTGAGGTTTACAGCTCTCAAGATGGCTCTAGCCATGGGGTCTCAGCAACATGGGAGGTTGATGGGCCAGGTGAGATGGACTGCACCTGCAGGTGTGTTTGTCCTATAAGACTCTGGTGTGACCTGGCAGGTGCTGGACGGTCAGAGCACCTGCCGTTGGATGGCATCTATGAGGACATCGAAGCTGTCCCTATGGAGGAGAAAAAGGAGTCTGCAATGTCCAGGGATCTGGTTCAGGAGGAGGATTATGATGATGCAGGAGAACCTGAGGAAGACTATGGGGAGGAGGAGGAGGAGGAGGAGGAGGAGGAGGAAGAAGAGTCTGCATTGTCCAGGGACCTTGTTCAAGAAGAGGGTTATGATGATGCAGGAGAGCCTGTACAAAACCATGGGGAGGTGGAGGAGGAAGAGAAGGCACTGCAGAGCCCAACAGGTGTGCATCTCTGTGCTTTGGGGTCTGTCACACTATTCCTGCTCTACTGCTCCCATGCTGGGGAAGGAGTAAGGGGTGCTGCTCTGTCTGGTGACCACGTGTAAAAGAACTGAGAGCTGTTTTTCTGTGTCTCTGACTCACTCCCATCTCTGGTCTGGGGTTTTGGGCCGTCCTCCTGTCCCTTCAAGGCTGCTCCTTAGACTGCAGTTCTGCAACGGACACAAGTGGGGACACAGAGGTCCTTGCTCTTCCTTTGGTCCTTTTATAGCTGTCCACAGTGTCCTTCTAGCACATGGTCCCCTGGTGGCTTCAGGAGGGACCCTGGATGGACAGTGGGCTGGGAGGGGTGGACTCGCTGTGAGAAGCAATCTCACTCTCACCTGACCCACCATGTCCAATCCTAGTCCATCCCTCTGTCTTCCTTCTGCAGAGGGAAAGCCAGGACACCTGGAGCTCAGAGAAAACCCTGAGGACCACAGTGGGCATCTCTCTCCTTAAACACAGATGGGGCTTCTCACACTTATGGTGTCCAGGCTGGGATAGAAGACCACAGCAGACCCTGGGCCAGCATGTGATGACTGTGCTGACCATAGTGGACATGAGCTGTCCAGAGCCTGGTATAAACCCAAGAGGTTGGGGGCTTATTGTCCTCATTCTTTAAACCCCTGTTATTAAACTCCTTTTGAACTCATTAATTCTTAGTCCTTCCCAGAAACTTGTCAGACTTCACCATGGCCCTTGTTCTGTTCTAGGCCACACTTCTCTGCCTGACTACTCTGGGTGGTTTGGAGAATGGTGGCCTTCTAGCTGTCCATGCAATCATCCACATGAGCAGAGTTCCATGAACAAATAAGCATTGGTGAAGACTTGGGGAGGACAGTGTGGAACCCGGTGACCCATACAACTGAGCTCAGCTAAAAGTCTCAGATCCACTGGGGATTCTGATGGCAGAAGAGGGTCTGGCCTTTTACTTCCCTTTCTGTCACCTTCCCCTCCCCCTCTCCTGCTGTGTTCTGTCCTTCCTCCTGGCTGTGGGCTCCAGGCCTCACTCTCCCTTGCCCCTCTCCTTCCCCACACTGACTCTCTTTTCCTCCCTGTCCATCTTGAGTAGCAATGGCCCTGGCTCCTTCCTCCAGTGAAGTCAGAAGTTTTGTAAATGCCTCTCGGTTGTTGGTTTATTTTGTAGGAAATTCTTTAGAGAACTAGTGGATGGGTTACATGTGAAATGACTTTTGAGTTCCTAATGAGTTGAGGCTGTCAGACATGGGCAGCATAGATGAGTGGGCTGGCAATGTGGAACCAGAAACTACTGAACATGGAACCGCATTGGTGCAGGTGTATGTATGTAATGAGGGGCTCTAGTCATTTCCAGCGTCCATGGTTTCTGGAATAAGTCCCACGTAGCCACTGAGTGGTGAAAGTCACATATGTGGTTGCTGTGAGAATGCTGGGAAGGTGCTGAGTGGCCTAAGCAGGTCTGGAATTCTGGAATCCCAACTACCAAGGTGCTTAGGGAAGCAGGTGAGAGTGTTGATAAAGGTGGAGCACCTCTTCTTGGAGCCTGTCCCAGGTGAGGTGTGGTGGACTTGGGGTTGGTATGAAATTGTGTGTGCAAGTTTTTGAAAGTGTGTATGTAGGAATTTTGTGTGTGAGTGCTTATCTATGCATGTGTGTGAGTTGTGCATGCATGTACCACAAGCACTTGTGATTGTGTGGGTTATGTCTGTGTATTGGATTGTCATGGAACTGGAGCCTGGCTGGCTCCAGTGAGTTGTGCAGTGGGGAGTATAGGCTGATGGACGGGAGAGCCATGGGGCAGGTGGGGCTCTACTGGGCCCCTGGGCCTATGGGTTCAGGACTTACACTCTGCAGATCCAGAAGCCAGTAAGTGTGTTTGGTGCATGTCTGGAGTGGGTCAGGCCCGGCTTGAGTGAGCAGCTGACAGCTTACCTGTCCTAATGCCCATGACTGGGCAAAGGCTAGAGCCCCTCAGACAGGTCCACTCAGCCCTTCTCAGGTGGGTTTGCAGCTTCCAGCTCCCAAGAACTGGGGCAGGCTGGACCTCTGCCCCACGGAAGGCCTTGTGTGGCTCCTTGTCTCTGTGCCCAGTTTTCTTCTAGAAGAGTGGACATAGGTGGAAAGGAGTGGTAAATGCGATCCCACCTAGACTCAGGCTGGCCTTGTCTGGGTCCAGACTCCCCTACAGTCTCCAGACTGGCCTTCCTGCCTTATCCTTCTGCCTTGAAGCACCACCCTATGACACCTGGGTAAGATCCTACCCTACATCTGCCCTTAGTCCTAGAGCCAGCAGGTGCCCAGGGCCAGCATTTGCTCCCAGCTTCTCTCCAGGCAAACAATATACACACTCCACACAAAGCACACACCCTCCCACACACCACACCACATACACTCTATTCTCTGGTTTCTGACAAGACCCTTCCCTTAATGGAGCAATGCCTGAGTTGTGTGTCCATGACGGTTCACAGGTAACACACTAAATAACCTGTCAGGTGCTCCAGACCAGTAGTCTAAGGCATGAGTGAGGCTCCTGGAGTAGCTCACCCTCTCATGGGATAAGCAATAAATAAACAGCCAGAACAGTTTCTGCTGAGCAGAGATTAAGAGGAGATGGGGCAGAGCGGCCCAGTGACCACTCTGAGTGAAGTCCTGTCTGACTCCTCTTGTGACATTTAGCCTTCATTGGTGATATGGGACCAGACATGCAGAGCCAGAGCGGGGAGGAATGCTGTGGGTGTTCGAGGGTCAGTAGACCATCGTGCTGGGGATCTGTCACCAGCTGGCAGTGAGGCTCCAAGATAGCTGCTCTCGGACCCTCCACCTGAGAAGCTCCCTCGTTTCCCGGCAGCTCTTGGCTCCCTAGAGCCCTGATACCTTTAAATGGGCACACTGCCCGGCATGAGGTGAAGGCATACAAGATTAACCCCATTCCATGGTTTTCAGTGTTACTAGGTATCATTGTCCTTTTAATGCATCACTGGGCTTGAGATCCTACTATGTTTTTGTTTTGTTTTGTTTTGTTTTGTTTTGTTTTTCTTCCTGAATCCACATTCTTAACCTGTGGCTTTATTTTATTTTTATTTATTTATTTTATTATTCATATGTGCATACAAGGCTTGGGTCATTTCTCCCCCCTGCCCCCGACCCCTCCCTTACCCCCCACTCTGCCCCCTCCCTCTCCCCTCTACCCCCTCGCTACCCAGCAGAAACTATTTTGCCCTTATCTCTAATTTTGTTGAAGAGAGAGTATAAGCAATAATAGGAAGGAACAAGGCTTTTTGCTGGTTGAGATAAGGATAGCTATACAGGGCATTGACTCACGATTTCCTGTGCGTGTGTGTTACCTTCTAGGTTAATTCTTTTTGATCTCACCTTTTCTCTAGTTCCTGGTCCCCTTTTCCTGTTGGCCTCAGTTGCTTTTAAGGTGAGATCCTACTATGTTTTGAAAGATTGTTCCATCTGTTTGTCACCATCTTCCTTTTTTTCCATCTTCTTTGGTTTCAAGGTTATAATAGCCTCATCATAGAATCCTCAAAGAGTGAGGATTTTGCCTCTTTTTTATAAAGTTGGAATGATTTCAGTTTTAAGCCATCTGGGACTGTTGATTATTTTGAAGGGAAGTTTTAGACAAACTTGTTTAGTCTAAAACATAGGACTGCTCAGTCTTGCTGCTTCTCCTTGAGTCAATTTCATAAGTTAAACTTATCTGGCGGTTCATTCATTAGATCTAGGTTTGCAAGGTTTTCATCTTGAGGCTGCTCCTGGCACCCCTCTCTTGTTACATCTGGACATGTGTCTTCCTATGGCTTCTCAACACTGTTTATTTGGATTCTCATTTTCCTCTTTTCCAACCTTGCTAGAGATGGATGTTGTGACTCTTCAAAATCCAGGTTTTGTTTTTTTATATATTCTACTTTATTAAAGTCTTCTCTTAACGATCACTTGCTATTTCCATCTTTCTTTGCTTTGTAGTTTTCTCATAAAATTGCAGCTTATTCATTTATTTTTGTCTTTATTTTTCATATTAGCAAAGCAGTGATTTCACTTCATGGACTATTTTCAGGGAGTCCTGTATGTTTTGATATATAGCACTTTATCTACTTATGCCTCCTTAGCACCTCCATCTTTTCACCCTCTATTCATCCATGAATACATTTTTTCAGGTCTTTCAAGCTGCAGTGCAACATGGGTGTACTTCCTCCCATATATGTCAGCAAATACTAACTACAGCTCAACACGTGCTTATAGTTACTTCTTTGAATGTATGATTACATATATCGAACTTACATGTGTGTATTTCTTGGGTTTGACAAGTGCATACAGTTATGTAATGCAAACACCTATCAAGTTTGGAACATTTCAGGCACCCCAGAAAGTTCCTTCTCATCACTGCAACCTCTTCTACATGAGATAAGAGATAGTATACCATACACTCTGTGTAAGACTTGGGGCTTACACAGCCACAAGGAGCATGGGGTTTTAGAGATTCGCCATGCATGTGTCCCTCATGTCTTTGTATTGCTTACTTCTGTTCTGCACCACACTTCATTTTTCCACATGCTTTCTGTTGGACAGCCTGGGCTGTTTTCACTTTGGGGTTCTTATTATGAGTAAATATGCTCCAAAATTCTCATGCAAGTCTTTTTTTGGTGGCATATGCTTTGATGAGGTGTGGGCATGCTGGGTCATAAGACAGGTACTTGGTTTCCCCAGTAGGCCCTCCCTCCTGTTACCTTTTCTGATGAGTCTCTTATTTCTTGGGTTCAATGCTTATTTGATTCATCTATCTATCTATCATGTATTTATGCATCAATCACCTGTCCGTGTACTTATCTATCTACTATCTATCATCTATCTATCATATTTTAAA